AGCAGAGGGAGGGAGCGGAGCTGGAGATTGCATCTAACGGGCAGCTCTGGGCTTCATACTCCAAGGACAGCCTCTCCATAAAGGCTGTTCAGCACCAGCAGGGAAACAGGTCTCCCCTGGGCTTGACAGCCAACCCAAACTGGCCGAAGGGCTAGTCTGTACCATCTGGCATGGCACTCAGCAATAAAAGCTGGGAGTAGGAGGGAGGAAGGGGGAACATTTGCAGGAATGGGGGAGGAAGGGAGGACATTTGTCTTTCACTTCTTGAGCCACTGCCATGCTTGCTGAGGCCCAACTTTCTGGGAAACAGATGGACCACCTGCATGCCGATGGGAAGCTGTGAATCAGTTCCTTCTTCCACTCTGCTTGGGCACACAGCTTTTGCTTTCCCTGTCATTCCCTACACCCACAATCTCCTCACCACCCTTCTGTCTTCTCTGCATCTCATGGGAGCAGGGAGTGGGCACTCCTCTGGGTGCAGGCTTGACTGTGCACCGGGGTCAGCCCGGGTGGGGGGGTAAGTCTCATGCTGCCATCCCAAGCATCAGCAGACTGCCTGGTCTTGAACTTAAGGCTCAAAATTGGTGGGTGTGTGGTCAGGTTTTTGCTTTTCTTTTAATGTTATCTCAGTTAAATTAACTGGGTTTTTCAACTGTGTCAGACTGATGTGATTTTAGTTTCCAGTTTTTCTGTTTAGCCACTAGGAAACGTTATGCTTATTCCTCTTATGCATATCAAATGAATCCCCTTTCATGTCATCGTATAGTATTTAATTATAATTGCTTGCTTTTCCCAAGAGGTGGCAGCTTCAATTATTGCGAAAACTGGGAGGAATTAAGGTGGTACAGAGAAACAAGAAACAATAATTTTTCCATTTTTCAGATATCTGGGGTTCCAGTCTAAATTACTTTCTTTAATTTTGTCTATTTTAGGCAGTTAGATAAAGGATAATTGTAATACAAAAAAGACTTCTTATTTATGATTCTATGGTCTTTCAGATATTGATGTCATAAAAGGTTTCTGGCTGGGGGGTAGCAATCTTAATATATGGTTTTATAAAAGAAGTCTTGGATTGGTTGGCATTTCAACACAGCCAAATGTGCATGAGTATTGCAAGTAGAATAGTAGTGTAAATCATTAGGAGGAAAAAATCTATAAAGTACCTGCTGCAGTTTTCATAAAATCATTATGTTTTTGTCACAGAAAATAACCTTTCTTCAATTCAAAGAAGTTAAGGAGAATAGATAGTGTTTTGATTTTATTTACAACATGGCAAAGATTCAGGCTTCCAGCACTTAATACTTTTTGTTTTTAAGGGGAAAAAAGAATGATTACTATTGTGTATAATCCATTATATTACAAGTGTAAGTAGAGAAATTTTATTAAAATCAGGTATTGCAATTCTAAAAAAAAATTTCCCTACTTTCCCCCTCAGGTTGTGGTGTGTTTGGTTCTTTTTTAAAGACAGACACTGCAGAGGGTGGGGATATGAGGGTTGTTGTGTGGTTAAATCGAAGTAGTGTTTGTTGGGGTTTTACCTGAATTGGAATTGATATTGGCCTTTGCAGGAGTAAGTATTTACATTCAAACAGTATCTGTATTACCTACTGTGGAGCATCAAATGTAAGTTTACAGCTTAAGCTCAGTTTAGAACTGAGGATGTCACATGGATCTCTGAAGTAAGTCATGGGGGCTTTTGCAATTGCCTGTTGCAGAAATGGCATAGGCAGAAGTTTAGAGAATAAAGGAACAGGAATTATGTAATAGATTTACAAATACCTCCCATTATAATATTTTCTGGTACCAAAATATTATCTCTTTTTTTTTTATGGTACCTGGGCTTCAAAGTAAGGAATTCTTAAAGAATCTTAGACTTGTTTCCCTTCCTCTCCATCTGAAAAGTTATGTTTACTGATGGCAGGCACTGTGCACAGTTAATGGCATAATTTTCAAATTGCCATCACAGCCTAAAGGCTACCTTTGCTTCCTTCTTCCTATATACCCATCGACCTTGTATGCTTGGAAATGCTTCTTGGAGGCTATGGAGCTAGGTTTGAAGCACCACTTTGGCTGCATTAAGAATTAGTGCTGTGAGAGGAGAGAACATGCAGATTGAAAGCTTTGGGATACAATCAACTCAGTATTTCATGAGGCCTTTGAGTTGTGGTCTGTGATTTCAGTGTCCCTATAAACATTCTCCGTTAAAATCCCTAGAAACAGGCTGTGTTAAAATACATATTGTCAAACAAGCACTGTGGGACAGTGAGAAGAGAGCACTACATAGCACATTTCTGTGCCATAAGAGTTAATGGATAGAAGTAGGAGAAAGCTATTTTGCCACATGGTATATAGGATAATGATGATATCTGCTGTGTTCAGAAGGTTATGTTGAAAAATTCAGCTCAGTGCTCTTTTCTTCTGCTGTCTTGATATTTACCAAATTGTTCTTGAGCCATCAGAGAAAGAAAATGAGGATATTTGGCCCAGTGTTGATCTGGGATTACACTAGGAAGGTGGAGTAGAGTGACGCTGCTCCTTCTTCTGTCATCTGTCTTGTTCCAGCAGTCTCATGATTTTACTCTGCAGTGAGATGTCAAAGCTGCTTTCCTTAAGTCAACATGGCACGCCTTCCTTTGTGCTCAACTGTTTTGAAGGGCTACCAGAATTTTCTGAAAAATGCAGTAAAGTATAGGATGGAATTATTTATTTTTCATGATCTGAAGCCCTCCTCAGTAGGAGAGAGGCATTTCTCTTTTCAGATAACTTTAGCTTCACTGAATTTTAGTTGCTTATTACGAAAATGGCATTTGCATAGCCTGGCAAAAAGAAAGAAAATATTGTAGTGGAAAATGCCAGCTTACTGTAGGGAATACTTCTAGCTCCTGTTATGATTAGTTAGTTCCACTACTCTCCCGAACACCACCCAGGCAGTTTTACAATTGCCAATGTTTTGAAAAATTTGAAATACTCAAGTTGAAAATGAGTTAATAAACTTAAACTAGAAGCTGCCAAAACGGAACCATCCTTTTATTTTCTTTTGATTTAACTTCAAAATGTTGGTCAGAGCTGTCATTCTGTGAACAACACTTTTTTGTTTAAAGAAAATTTAAAAATTCTGTACCAAATGAGAAATAGACACTTATTTTTTTCAGTTATGCAAAACTGGGCAGCAAAGCAGGAGCTGACAGACTTAGTGCTCTGTACCTAAGGAGGTGTGAGGAGCAAAAGGAGAAAAGGAGGATCATCTGCCAGAATTTGGAGCTTTGCTGGCATCTCTAAAAAGTTCTGCCTGTATCCAGTGGCCATAGTGAATAGCATATGTAAATCATTGTGGGTGGATATATATTAGCACTTCAGTCCTACCTGAGATTCAACTAATTGCCAATATATAGAGATTTTTTTCAAAGTATATATCTTTAACTGATACTTTCTGCCTAGCTTTTGCTCCAGGTATGTGTGCAGGTCATGCATATACATGGTTCAAATATGTTCTCATCACTGAAAGCTTAGGAAGTAGTTCACCAGGATCTTGAGTCTTGAAAAGTCTGACGATCCAGTTCTTTTGTCAGCCTAAGCCAATTTGGCTGCCGGCTTCCTGGGCTTGCCCTGCCTCTCTTGCCCTGTGTTCAGGCTATGAGCTTGTGTGACCTTACACTGAACCTGTTTGGAGCACAAAGCTGGCAGGAAGCTTTTGCACTTTGCCTGAGATAGTTTCTTGATGATTTAGCATGCTGAAATAGTTCAAAGCTGCTGCAAAGACATGAGTAGAAGCACATGGTCAAGCCTGAGGGGAACTGAACTGGGATGTAGCTGCCAACATTTTAGCTCAGGATGCCCATCTGGAGGTGATTGGTAAGATAGAAAAGGGTAACTTCCAGAACGCCTTGCTGCCCTCAGGTCAGTATTGATTAAATCTGAGCTCCACCAGCAGAAATCTGCAGTTCCCCTCCTGTGCTGGAGAAAAGTGTGAAAACAGTGGTGCTTCCAGAGGTGTCCTCTTAACTTTAGGGTAGAATCTCTGGGAGTGGATTGTATACTGTGACGTTGTGCATGATTTTCTTAACTTGGATAAGCTATCTTCACCAAAATACAATTCCTGCTGTTTTGCAAAAATACTTCCCATCTTTTGTGAGTTTGGATATGTTGTCCTTTTATCTCTGTCATGGTGACTGACCATTTTAAGACAACATTTGATATTTTGTTTTCTGGCATGTTTGAGATTAAAGCCAAACTAAAAATGAAAATAGTAAGAATGTGCAGTCACCCCAAAGAAATCTTCTCCCTCCCATTTGCTGAAATGTGAAGTAATTTTGTTTCCCTCTTGTCTTAGAAATAATGCATGTTGCTGTTGAAAAAATTTACTAGTGAAAAACAGAATCTGGTTTAGGGAAAACTGCTTTTATATAATGGCATTTTCATTTTCTAAAGATCCTATAGTAAAGAGTTTGAAATAGAAAACATGTAATAATACTTGTTATAGTTGGCTCTAATAACGAAGCAGTTCTGTTTTGTAAGACTGGAAAAACTGGAAATTGAAGGAAGTCTGTAACTTCCAGTAGTCAAGAGTAAGAGAGGGTGATATATTTTGAATCATGGAGATCTCTTGTTATTCTAATGTAATTGCTATAAGAAAAGAAATGTATTTACAAGTCTCTGAATTCTCAGTCTCTAGTATTCAAGGTATGTATAAGTATCCAAGTAAACTCAATACATTTGTCCACAATGTAATTAATTGCATTTTAATATTTCATTCCTCTTGTTAGGTTAATGAGTTTACACGGGGTTTGTTTTTTTTCTAACCTGTTATCTAAGCAAGTTGAAGTATTGTTAGGAGAGAATATGTTTTTAAAGCAATTTCTGTGAGATTATTTTTAATTGTATAAATCTTTCAGTTTTAAATAGCAACACTGGAAAACCAATAACACTACAAGTGTTAAAAAATGTTTGACAAAATTATGAATTGTATTTGACCCTTCTCTTTTCAACATTCTTTGCTGCAGGATTTGAACAAGCGCTTGTCCCTGCCCGCTGACATCAGGATACCTGATGTCTACCTTGAAAAGTTGCAGATCAACAGCCCGCCCTTTGATCAACCCATGAGCCGACGTTCTCGTAGAGCATCACTAGTAAGTGTAATGCATCTGCCTTTCTAAACCAACCTCCTGGGTCTTCAGAATCCATTTACTGCATGTGCTTGTATTCCATGGGTATGTTTCAGCTTCATTTGCACCTTGACTTTTATGTCCTGAACGTCAGCATGCACCTGTCAAAATCCAATTAAGAACTTCATTTCGTTTTTCTCTTGCTATCTTGGTCCTGTCATTTCTCATTGAAGGTCTTGACCCATGGAAATCAGTGGCTAAACTCAACTCCTGAAGTACATACTTAAATCCTTTTGCTTTTTAGAGCAGGGATGATCTGTTTGAGCAAATAGGCCACGCAGTCTTAGGTCAGGGCTGGGGCCTTCATATGATTTAGTAGGAAGACCCTAAAGCAGCATAATATGAAGGCAGGTCCTCCTTACTGTTCTTTTTGTGTTGGATAACAGATTTTCTTTCTCAGAATTGCTGTTGAGATGGTAATGGGTGTTTTGCATTTTTGCTGTTGTTGTTTTAAAGCATATGTGATTTCCTAAAAGAACGAATGAATAAATTCGCATACATATTCTTAGATTATTGAGTTACATTAAAAAATAAGTCTTTTTGTTGGAGATGGCAGAATGAGTATCTCTATACTGTAATTAGAGTATAAGTCCTAGAAATGCTGGATACTTGTGCATATAAAATATGCACATCCCTGAAATAATACAAAAAGCACCATTATTGCCTTATTTTACAAAAAATTGCTACATTTCAGCCATAATTTGATCTATCAGCTTTCTTAATGTTAATTGAGGTTTTAAAGAGTTGCTAGACTGTTACTGAATTCCTGAGCAAATTCTTTAGTGAGAAATTCTTCACAGAGAAAAACTAAATACATTTTTGAAATGCACATTGATGTTTTCTTGATTTAATACCTTATTTGCTGAAAAATTAATATCAAAGTACGTGTAGTGAAATAGTTTCATTAACTGTGAAATATCTTTACTCACAATGAATAATGTTTTTAACAAAGCAGTGGTTGAGATTTCATGTAGTTTTACCCTGAAAAAAATACAATTTAGTTTGCTAGACTAACGAAGCTCTGATATGTATGCCACCTTTTACAGGAACAATATTAAAAGAAAAGAAGATTGGAGCAAAGCTCTGGAAGTAATAATACTGTAGCTAGCTGAAATATTTATGCCAGAATTTTGGAGCTCATTCACCCCTTAGTTACTGATGTAGCATTTAACTGAGGAACAGACTTCCCCAAACCTATCTTCAGATACTGGCGAAATACCTGTTCAGTCCAACCTTTTCAGTGGAGTCCACTATTTGGGGGCTGGGGGAATTTTCCTGTGTGTTTAAGTCTCCTTGCTCATTTAACATTGAGCCCTGAGAGTAGCTGAAGTTCTCTGTACCTTCTGGAAGACTGACAGAAAAACAGTGCCCTCTAATGAATATGGTCTGTGTGTGGAATCAGCATGCTGTCACAAGGTTGTTTCATTTCACCTTTTAAAAATGCTTTCATTTTTAATGGGCTTAAAAGTCCAAAATGAAACCTGCCAGCAGTGCTGTGGAATGCAGGCATGCATTTGCTGCATTGTCCTTTCATGATTTCAAACTAAGCTTTAAAAAGGAGAAATTCAAGGACTCATTATTCCAAAATTGTCATTGAAAGCCTGGTAGCAGACTCTTAATTACAATATATGAGTACTATGCTCTGTTTCAAAGGCATGTTTCTTTTCAAGGCTTAATGGGAATCAAAAAGGCTATAAAAAGTACCAAGTGAGGACTTGTTATACTTTAGGTCTGGATTTTGTGCATACATGTATAGTATTGCATGCACAGTGGCATAGGTGTAACTTCTGCACCAGTTATTAGAAGTCAAAGACCAAAAATGCCGTGCTTCAGTGTTTCTGTGTAAGTCAAGGTAGATGCATATTGCAGAAAAAAAATGAAATAGTTCAGAAATTATTTTGAAGGAAAAATGAAATTGATCTTAGTTTGAGGAATGTAAAAATTAGTTTTTCTTAGGAGTAATAAGCAACCAAAGTGTGATCAAAAATTTAAACACATAAAAAAGCAGGTCTTGGAGAATATCTGTCTTCTGTATGTAGGAAATATTTTATGGTTTTATTGTATAAAAAAAGATAATGACTTTATTTAGTCTTGATGAAATCATCAACGTTTCTTAGTAATTAGGCTTTTTAAATTGTATTCCAGACTGTCTGGCAATAATAAGACTAAGGGCTATGAGTTCTCCTTTAGTTTCTCCTATAAACTAAGCAGCCTATCTTTTTAATTCTAACAACATCTAATATTCACTTCAAGATATGTTTGTTTAAGTAGGTCAAAATGCACTTTGGAAACATAATATTTATTTTGGTGACATTGTACCTGTATAAGTGGTATGTTTAAAATCTCACTGGAGCTATAATCCCTAAGGCTTGCCAGATATCAACTTTGCTTGTATTTTGAGATAAACAGCTTGTCTTTGACAAACTCCTAAATATGTGTGATGCTGAAGTAAGTATCACTGCTTAGGCAATTCTAAAACATTTCATTTCTAGCAATAATTTAATAAAGCAGAATTACTCTTAATGCTATGTTGGCATAATTATATGCCCTTTTTTTCTCTTAGATATATCAAATATGTTTACAGACAAGATCTTATACTTACTTCGGACGTATTTTCTTCCATGTGTTCTGAAAATTAAGTATTAATCAAACTTTTCTTACCTTCATATTGTATTGTTTTCAAATCTGAATACAGTAATCAGTATTTATGTTACAGTGTGTTACCATGAAATAATATAAAACTTTAATATCCATCAGATTTTTAGGAGCAAATCAGTGTGTCCTGATGTGTGTACCTGGGCGCTAAAGCCAGTCCAAGATCAAAGGATTGTTCCTTGGAAATAAATAGCCAGTGGAGGGCTATGGTTGGAAGTGAAAGGTGATGCTAGGGGAGAAAACCTGGCTTTTTTGTCTTAGTGTATGTCCAGTTGTCAGTAAAGCATAATCCCATGAAATCGGTGAATTTTGGGTTTTGACAGGATACAGGCTATATGCACGTTGTAAATTGGTTTAAAAATGTACATGCTTACATGTTTACTTTCAGCATTCTTTACACTGCAAGAACAATAGAAGGCTTTGGTGTAGTTGACTGTGGTCTTATGTGAAAATAACTATTAGAGACAACCATGTTAAATATGAGAGTAGCAGTGAATTTGAACAGGAAAAGAGCAATGATCTTACAGTCTTTGGAAATAAAGGTGTTATATAGGCAGGCAAAGCCTTCTGGCTTGCATTGAAGAGCTAAGCTGGTGACAAAAAAAGAGAAGGTGAATAGATCCAAGTAAAATACACAAAGATGTGGAGTTATAAGGTAAGAAATGTGAATTGTTGAGACAAAGCTGAAGCTTGTGGAGGATTTATGTTTAGGGATTTTCCTAGCGAAGTTTTAGTCCGAAAAGCATTGAGAGTCAGAATGGGAGAGGAAACTTGGAGCTGGGATCTTGAACATAGCAAATAAATTTACTTTGAAAGAAGCAGCGACATATGGTTGTGCTGAGCAAGAGAAAGAATGGACTAGTTCAAGGTGACTTCTGTGCTTTGAGCTATAACAACCTCATTAGTAGTAATCGGATCAGAAGAGTGGAGAAGACCTAAGTAGGAGGTAGGTTAAAGTGAGGGTTTGGTCTAAGTGTAACTCAGTACATAGTCCTTCCAGGATACACTGGAGACTGGCCAACGAGCTGAACATTAGACTTGGATGCTGGGATAAATTTATATCATAGCATGCTAAATTGTTTTTAAAATAGCAGAGTTATATGGTGTTTACTATCAGGTAATTTTCTGAAGTGACGTTTGGCTTGCTCGTTAAATGAGGTATAAATGAAGTGTTTGGTTTTAATCATGAATTTTCCATTTATTTCATTGCAGTCAGAAATTGGATTTGGAAAAATGGAAACCTATATCAAGTTAGAAAAGCTTGGAGAGGTATGTATAGCTTTCTTTTGGAACAATCACTGCTTTGATGACAATGTCTTATATAAAATTTTGCATAAGTGTTAACCGAAATTCTCCATATCCCTCAAAATAGCAGTTGAATTTATCTTTCAGTAAACTAAACATATTCAACACGTATAATAATTTCACAACCACACGAATGTTCTGTGCATAATAAGCATAATAAGCAAAAAAAAGGAAAAAAAAACAGGAAAACTGTCGTAGAGCTGAGGAAGAACAAGACTCCATTAGCCAATGAGCTGAGACCTTCTTACATAGGCTGGCTTTTTGTAGTATAGACAAAATTATTCTGTTGATAATAAAACTAATTAAGTCTGGTGTCCTCCTGCCAGGAGTTAGGGAACACTCATGATGGACTAGAGGCCAGTGCTTGCAAGGAGCAGGCAGTAGCTATGTCTGTTCTGGTAAAGAAACCTGCACGCCTGAGCTGGGCAGCCAGCCAGGTGCTGCCAAGTGAAGTATGGAACACTTTGATTTTGCCTTTCCATCTGGGAGGGCAGCAGGCTTTCCACCTCCACTCAGCCTCTGACTTCCAGAGAAATAGCAGGTGGGTCGCCAAGTGTCAGTCCTGTACCAACGGAATCAGAAATGGACAAGGAGCACAGGAAAGGGATGCACTGAACATTGCAGAAGGAGGCAGGGCTGGTCAGCATCTCTGCTGTGAATGTTGCAGTCCTCCATTTGCAACATTTTAATTTCCAAACACATTTATTTTCTTATTTTGCCTCTAGTACTTGTTAGATGGATCACTAGACATGACATAACAATGCCCCTCTCTAGAGGAATGTTAATTTAATAGCAATCAAGTGATAGTTGTGGGTGTACATAGTCTCACTTGCTTAAAAAATATAGTGGACAGCACCAGTTTTGTAGAATCACAGAATTGTTTAGGTTGGAAAAGACCTTTAAGATCATTGAGTCCAACTGTTACCCAGCACTGCCAAGTCCACCACTAAACCAGGTCCCTGAATCTTTTATCTGTCGTCTACATATCTTTTAAATACCTCCAGGGGCAGTGACTCAACCACTTCCCTGGGCAACCTGTTCCAATATGTTTTCATTAAGGTTGTGGAAGAGCATGTCTGCAGCATAGTGTAGAGATACCCAAGCTAGGTATCAGTCGTCTAACAGAGACTTTCAGGTGTGTAAATGATCCCAGCAGTGAACTTCGTAAACTTAACGCTACCTGATCTGACTTCTTTGGTAGCTCTGTGGTATACAGATTTCCATGTAATTTCCAGAGCTGTTAAGCATGCACACCCCATGTGTCTTCTGTGAGTTCGGTCCTGTGCTTGAAAAATACTTCTGTACTTTTACATAATATCAAAAAAACATAATGTAAAAGCTATTCATATCCAAAATGAAACCTCTTAGAACCTCAGACCAGAAGTTTATATTTTTTTATTTAACTAAAGTTTCAATGAAGGAACAGCTTGTAAAAGTTTCCTTCTTTTTCCATTTTATAGGGTACTTATGCAACAGTTTATAAGGGGAGAAGTAAATTGACAGAGAACCTGGTAGCTCTGAAAGAAATACGCCTGGAACACGAAGAAGGAGCACCGTGCACAGCCATAAGAGAAGGTGGTAACTTTTTCTTTAATTCTTGGAATTTCAGATACTTCTGGATTTGTTTTTTGACCAAAGAACCATCAGTACTTGGAAATACATAGACTACATGGGAGATTAGTGAAATTGATATTAGTATAGATCAGGAAAATTTTAGTGCAAACATATTTAGAGGTTGCATTTCAGATTTATTTGCTTTATGGGGGATGATTCTGATCTCAAATGCAGTGTTATAAACGGATGATTTGATACTGAATTAGACTACTATTCGTGAGTAACTTCCAGGGACTCAGAATACATTTTTATCAAATGACATCTGTCTGAAACGTATCATTTGCAAAATACTTACAGTTTATTACTTGAGTGTATGTTTGATACTTTGATTAAATACCTTTCTTATTAACTTAATCTCAGAGTATTACGTTCCTAAAAATAGCTTTTTAAGTAAAAAAATCAATTAGCCTATATGTATGAACTTTTTAGAAATGCACTTAATGCTTGTGTGTTTTGCACTTATTTTTTTACTTACTATTCTCTTTTGCAGTGTCATTATTAAAAGATCTGAAGCATGCAAATATTGTTACATTACATGATATTGTGCACACAGACAAGTCTTTAACTCTTGTTTTTGAATACCTGGTAAGTGCTTAAACAATTAGTGAGCTTTACATTCAGTTTATTATTTCTAAGAAATGGAAACATAGTGAAATTCTGTACTCTTTTTAAAAATACTGGGACTATTCTAATTTACTCCTGCATCTACAGTCATTCAGCTGAAAATGAAGAAGATGTATTCAGTTCTTGAATTGTTGTAAATTAGTAAACGCTGTTGTGATCATTTCAGAGTTCCATTAATAGCAGGTAGTTGTGGTCTACCTGAGCAAATGGCCTACTTGTCCAAAATCATTAACTGTAGAAAAGGGTAATCACACTGCTATTCCTATGATATTTTTTTCTTATGATGTATTCACTTCCAGTGTAATTGGAGAATGTACCAATTTTATAAAATACTGTGCCACACACAGATGGAGGAGAAGGCAGTAGCAAATAATGTTGCCTGAGCTGATGCATCTTACTGAGAAACATGGGTATTTATATCCTGTGGAAAGCCAGAATTTTCTGTGCCCAGGCGTTTGGGTTTTCTATCATTGAATATCTTTTGCAGAAAACTCATTTTTCTGATGTATTATTTTAGTTCTACCAACAAATAATATTCATGCAATCTATTGTCCATAATTTGACTGAACAACAACAATGATGGTGTTTTGACAGGACAAGGATCTGAAGCAGTACATGGACGACTGTGGTAACATCATGAGTATGCACAATGTAAAGGTGAGTGTTTTTAGTGACAGTAACTGCCTTCAGCTTTGTCCTAAGAATCTCAGAGAATTTAATAATCAGGAGCTATATGGTTTAGTCTTTTTAAAAATAAAATAAAGAAACAACTTCCTTTTTGACCTTTTGGCCTACGTTTGACATCAAATGGAGTCTTTATGATTTTGATGGGGTTTAAGTGTTTAAAACATTGAAAAGAGATTATTTAACTTCATATATTTTCATTCTCTTTGAAGTTATATATCTAAAATTTAAAAATTCCTCAAAAATAATACATTCATAACTCTTTTGGGCTCTTCTTGTCCTTCCATTGATTTATACTCATTTATTAAGGTTGTAGTTTGATATATCCTCAAATAAAATTTATATATGCACACTATATACATGCATACTATATATATGCATACTATATACACAGAAAAATGTAGCCTTGATCATGAATGTGGTTTTGGGTGCCACTGCCTACCACACAAATAAGAAATTAAAAATATATGTTTAAGAATGAGTTATGTTCATCTTTCCATTAGTAAGAAAATGGAAGTAATTTTCTTTAAGGCTTAATTGCCTATTTCTTTTAATTATGGCTGTGGCCTGGTCGAGTGACTAAGTTTTGAATCTGGCCTGCTGAAACTGACTCAAGTGTTACCTCTCTCATAACAAGCAGGTTTGGATTTGGAAAACTGGAATAACTCTTTATGCTCATTGATACTTATGGCTTTATAAACAAGGTTCCAAACAGAGGTCAGTGCTATCTTGAAATGAGTGAAGTGAGTTGGCATTCAGTCTAGATACTGGTTACTGTTTGGTTAGCTTTCTCTTTTATTCTGTTGTCACGTTACAAGAAGTATCTCTGTGGAAAGACATCTGCCCTTAACCTACTCTGTTGCTTCCTTTGAGAGTCTGCAAAAATAAATTCTTTAATTTGTTTCTACTTTGGAGAGACAACAAAAAAACATAATTACATTTGTGTTTTTAATTATCTACAAATTAATAAGTAAAACTTTAAGCTTAAAAAACGTAAGGGAAAGCTGTAAGTGGGAACCTGACTCCTATAATAAGTGCAGTTAAAGAACAAGCAGAATCTGGTTGTGGTAATCCAAGCTAAGCAGAGGAACTGTTTTTCCTTGTTTGCCTATGGTTTAAGCTGTGCTTGAAGAGCAGATTTATATGGTCATTACCTTTGGCGCTGGTAAAACAGAACAGTTTCTTAACTGTGGTAGCTGTAGGTGCTCACCTTGCAATAGCTGTGGGGGTTCGAGTCATCATTAACATTTGAGAGACCTCCCTGTCATCACTCCCCTCACATTGCTCAGCTAATTTTAGTTTTTTTGTGTTTTGACAACATGAAGATGTATGTGATCTCTGCAAGTATTAGTTTCAACGAAAATTTTGAGCTAATACATGGCATCCTGTGCATTTCCAAAAGGATCCCTGCCAAGGGTGGTGAAGATTCACAATTTCTGTAGGATAACCTGCTTTTCATTCTTGACTAATCCTTGCAGTCCCAGTGTACACTAAAGATGGCCATCGATTTCCATAGCAGTCCTGCTAATATAGCTTGGGACTGGCTACCCTTGCAACAGTATGGACATGAGTAGATTGAACAAAACTTGTTGCTCCTCATTCTGCTCTTATAAAAAAAGAAAACAAAGAAAGAAATCAGTCCCTGTTTTTCGAGAACAAGTAAATCCCAGGTCAGTAGACTGAGAACAGATGGATATAACTACACCTTCTGTGTATTTGCACAGTTTACAAAAAAGAATTTGATGGTGTCACTTGGTACAAAAATAAACTGATGTGTTAGAAAATGGTCATATAAAAATCTTCTAGTGTTTTCCCTCAAAGGTCCTGTTCCATGATGAATTTGTCACACTGGTAAACATTGCTTTCAGTACTGCTCTATGTTTTGTCATTGTATATTTGATCACCTATGCTGACTGAGGGCCATTGTGTGGTAAATGCCAGCAATGACTACCCAGAAGTTTCATGGTCAAGATCAGACCCTTTATACATACAGAAACTGCAGAATAGTTCTTAATGCAGTGATATAGTAAACTTGTTTGGCTGCCAAACCTTTCTTCACCCCTTACTACTTTAATATCTATGTATGTGCAGCATTAATATGCATAACTGGAGCTGCTTACTCGGCTTGCTGTTGCAAAGGACTCAAATAAACCTGTGTGTGTCAAGGTGAGGGGATGAATATAAATGCCAGAGGCAGTTGGGCTGTTTTAGTAATCCTCATTTCCTCATCTCTCTGTGAGCTTGCAAATCTAAGTGTATTTTTCCAGTAGCATGCCAAAGCATTCTTTACATAGTTTTGCACAGTTGGATAGAAAGGATGCTGTGCTGCATTTTCAGAAGAGATTCTATGGCAGAAGGGAACTTGAGTATATAGTCAGAGACAGTTACCTTTAAAAACATCAGTGTGTGGAAGAGCAGTAGTAAATGCTTACTTTAAAAATAAACAGGCCTGTGGTTCTCTTCAGTTAAACAGAACCAATTGCTCTTAAAAGTCTTTGTTGTAAAGTATAGTGCTAAAGCAGTACATTAACATAAAAGGATTTTAAATCTCTGAACAATAATGAAGATGTTCGGAATGTGTTCATATGGAAAAGTAACTCACTTTTTGAGAAGTGTTTTTGTCCTGCTTACAATACAGAGACTTAACTCTCCAGTACCCAGAAGGGCTGTTACAGTTGTGTAATCTGTAGACTAACGTTCTTTGTCTAATTTATCTAAATGTTCTCTTTTGTAGCTATTTTTATATCAGATTCTTCGTGGTTTGGCATACTGTCATAGGAGAAAGGTGTTACATCGAGATTTGAAGCCTCAAAATCTACTCATTAATGAGAAAGGAGAACTGAAGCTTGCAGACTTTGGTATGGCCTGAAATTATTCTGTAATAGATATTTTTATCTCTCAGCAAAATAAACACTTTTTTCCTTATGAAGGAGAAATGAGTACATTGGGTCTGTAGGGAATTTGGGTGTTCTCAAAGGGAAAATGAAAGTCAGTCTTTTACAGTAATCAAAGTAATACCTGTATGGATAATACTGTCACTTGAGTTGTGGTTTGAAAGTAGTCTTAACAGCTTCCTTTAAAATTGATACTTAGTCAAATCTTTAAGGTGGAGCTCAAGTTACTTCTCCTAACCCTCCACAGTCACTCTAAAGCAGGGTAACCGTGACATGAGGTGAGAAAGAAAGGGTCGTATGCTAAATTGTCAGCTGTTGCTCCATCACTTGATACACCAGTTCCTTTGGGATTTACAGTAGGTGGGGCATGCACATTTTCCTGTTACCTTCCGTGTCTGGAAGATCCTTCAAAAGTTATGATACCACTGGTTGTTCCCCTTGTGTGTGAATGAAAGTTGCTCGAAAGATTGCATCTAACATGATAGACCTGAATTTTATTGAAGATATTACTGACAAATTGAAATGTTAGGATGGAAGAACCCTGATGATCCAACGCAGATTTGGATCAGCTGTTTCCACTGTTTCATTATTTGTTTGTTGCCTTCTGCTTTTTGCAATGTAATTTTCAAATATAAATAGAGCAGAAGGGTTTTTGCAGTGGGGAGGTGTCATACTGATCTAGTGCTTTGTTGATTTAACGAAATGTATAGGATTAGCCCAGAATTTGATCTGTTTACTGATCTTCTGTGCTTAAAAATGTTGACCGTGAGATTGCCGTAAATACCAAAAGACGAATCACAGGTTGTAAAAATGTATTTATTAGGACCTTTAAATGAGCATTAAGGGAAGGTATTTAGCAAGTATAATAAGGTTTATTTAGTTCTTCAAAATATTTTGTCCATTTCATGCAAAAAGGATTTCAACAAGCTGCATATGACTCTTCATTTCCCTGTTTATCAAGGATTGGCAAGAGCGAAGTCTGTTCCTACGAAGACCTATTCCAATGAAGTTGTCACATTATGGTACAGACCACCTGATGTTCTCCTCGGATCTTCAGAGTATTCAACTCAAATTGACATGTGGTTTGTATAGCTTTGTCTAATTTAAAGTTTTGTTCTGAGTGAAGTTGAAAAAATGTTAACTCTGCTGTTATGTAGTAACATTCAAATACTCATATACCCAAATCCTTTGAATTTTTGTAGGCTACAACTGAGTTAGATGCTTAGAGAAAAAAATGGTAGACTGGGAAGGTGCTACTGTTCCTCTCTGAAAATGCAGAGTACCTTTTTACTGCTCGGAGTAAGCAAGCATTAGGCCCACTGTGTTAGGGGCAAAAACAAACCTTATTTTCCTAATGACATGATAATGTGGTATTTTACTATGAACTTTAATACAGTTGATTAACTTGACATCTGAAGGAAGGGGATATAATATAGCTATGACACAGGTTTTGTTCAGTCTTTGACAACTCTTTTGTTGCTTCACATCTTTCTAAACAGTATTTTTAACAACTAATTTAATAATTTGTTGTAATTGAAGAGAAATTGCAGAAGTCTTTAAGAGCTGAAATTTTAGGATTATTTCTGCTTTATCTTTTTCCTGTTTTTATAAAGGGGTGTCGGATGCATATTTTTTGAAATGGCATCAGGAAGGCCTCTTTTTCCTGGTTCGACTGTTGAAGATGAACTGCACTTAATTTTCAGACTTCTTGGTAAATGAATACTTTTAGCAGTAATGTTGATGCTTTATGTTTGTATGACAACTGTAGATCTTTATAAACAATGATATTTTATATCCCATTGTAATCAAGGTGACGGAAAATTATTCAGCTGAGTGTACAGCTGAGTTTGCAGAATATAGACTTACTGAATGATGTTTTTTCTTTTTTAAATTACAAGATAAATGCTTATTCATGTCAAAGTTGTTTGTTGGTTTACATTTTAAGCTGAATTTGTTGGTGCTTTTAAATGCAGGAACTCCGTGTCAAGAAACATGGCCAGGCATTTCTTCCAGTGATGAATTTAGAAACTACAACTTTCCTAAGTATAAACCACAACCTCTCATCAACCATGCACCAAGGTACTTTGTGTTTTATTAATAGAAAATACACGTCCCTGTGGCTTTGCATATTCGTAAATGGGAACATATTTCCAAGTACAGTCTGCTACTGAATTCTGTAAAACTGCACATCAGTTGTTATTGTGGGCAGATGCTAATGTAAAGCAGAATCCTGGTACTGTGTGATTACTTTGTCTAATTTCATTCTAGGAACCACAGCTCCTTAATGACCTGTAGAACTATAAACTCCAATTAATAATGTCTTTATAGTAGGAGTATTCACACAGCATTTCCTAAATAACCCAGATTCTCTTCTGGTTATATTATTATGGTCCAGCCCATTTGTTTAAATAGCCAGATTTCCTTGGGCAGTTTCTTGAAATGTTAAAACTATAATGAGGGAGTTGAAGGGTCTGTACAGTTAATATAAATAAACTTTATAATATAGACTACAGCATTTTTCGTTGACATTGTTGTTTCCTAGTAAGTGAGTAGTATTAAGCTTTAAAAAATAATAAAAAAATTTCAAATAAATAATCCAGGTCAACCTAGTAAATCACAATTCAAACTCAGGATTTGTCTATCCCCAGTGTTTTCCAAATAGTCTTGTTCTGACATACTGGTACTCATAAGTACACAGTTTAACATACATAAATGTTGTGTAGGTGAAAGCATTTTTATGTTTCAATTTAATTTTCAGGTTTGTTATAATTTAATTGTTAGTTCCTCAGCGGTTTTACTTTTGTAAATATAGTTCAATAACTGTTTTAATTTTTAAAAATATTTTTATTTTTAGGCTAGACACGGAAGGAATTGAATTGATAGCGAAGTTCCTTCAAGTAAGATCTGTTTTGTGGCTTTACTTTATAAAAGTGCAAGTTTAGAGTTTTAATATGTTATTTGCAAAATGTATTAGAAGCGATAGTATCTGGTAGATCTGTCTCAAAGAGAAATGTGTAGGTGAGTCTGTAGTGGATGATGTGAGAAGAATGAGTTTTTGGGAAGCCAGTGTACTGTGAGAATTAAAAAACTGATGTTTACTTTTTTTTTTCCCCCATAACTGATTTCTTCTCATACTACTACTTGTAAGAATAGAATTTTCTGTGTTAGCAATACCCTGAAAAAACTAAACCTCTTGTGAAATACAGCATTAAACCAGAACTTTTAAATACAAATGCTATATTTCCATAGCGATGAACTGAGTCAGTACTAAAGAAGGAGTTACTAAGGAGTAACTCTTCTATTTGCAAACTGTATTCAAAAGGTGAAGTACGTGTGCCTAATCTTTTAATCTGTATTAAAAATGAGCCAGAAGCAAGATAGAAGGCCAGCTCCTAAGTCTTTGAGTAATGCAGCACTGTGACTTCACAATGTTAAAAATCCTTGTTACCTAAGGTGGAGTGCACTACTTTGCTTTGCAGCTTGTGATTTAAATTCTACAACAGGTCTTCTTCTATTTACACATTGTTTTAGAACAGTACTTGCAGTCCAAACCAGGACTTTGTTCAGGATTTGTATACATCGTTTTAGGTGTCTGCATCGTTGTCCAGAATTGCATGTATGCCAAGCAGGAGCCATCTAAGCATTGTAACATCTATACATAAAGTATATTTTTGACTTGCATCCATTTACAAAAGTTATTTTGACTATATTAGCAGTCTTGTTGGCACTACTGATTTAGATAACATCTTAGATTTTTGTGTGTGCAATATAAGTAATGAAAACAAATTTGTCCTAGTGTTTTATGGGAAATACTGAGCAAATAGAACTCTCTTTTTCCCTTTGATGAAATCACTCGATGCAAAGAGATTTTAAATGGAAACCAACACGCTTGTATGCTTTTTATATTAATAGTATGAATCAAAGAAGAGAATTTCAGCAGAAGAGGCCATGAAACACGCATACTTCAGAAGTCTTGGAACAAGAGTACACACTCTGCCTGAAAGTAAGACAAGTAGTAAAGTAGCAGAGTATTGTTAAGATAGTACATTAAAGCTAAATATGTTGCATAAGAAAAACTCTATTCTATTAAAGAAGTCTGATATATATTGACTTAAATATTTGTTAATAAGAAACTTTTTTATTCTGAACTATGTAATTAAGAATATAATTTTGTTTATTAAAATATAGTTGTGTTTGGATGTGAATGAATTTCTTTGTTACGTTCCAGGTGTTTCAATATTCAGTCTAAAAGAGATTCAATTGCAAAAAGACCCTGGCTTTCGAAATTCCACTTACCCAGAGACAGGTATGGAAAGTTTGATTTTTTTTCTTGTATCTGCTAAAAGAATGCTGTGCCAGAGGCATTTGTAATTGAAAAACATTTTGTTAAATTAGTTTGTATGAATGTACTCAAATATCAAGAATGATTTGCTGAGATTCCTGTAGAGACATGCAAGCTAAAGGCACAGAAAGAGATGAGTTTTGCCAGGGATGGGCAGAGGGACTGTTAATCTGAGAGTATCTCAGAGATTCAGACCATTACTGTGTGGGTGTGAATGTGGCAAAAAACCCTGCATTTTCACTGGTGTGAAAAAACCTGCATTAAGTGCAGTTAAAACAAAGATACTGATACGGATTTAAGCACAAAGAATATTCTCTTGAAATAGAATGAAGATGTAGATAATAACTTGGTACTTCTCTTGTGCAAATGCTTAGCTTTCTTACCATGGTCCATGTTCTGTTGTAGGACATGGGAAGAACAGAAGGCAGAGCATGCTTTTTTAAAGTAGGCAGTGCAGAGTCAAGCCCAAGACTATCCTGTCGATCAAGGACTCGGATCCAAAGGCAGTGCTTTCTGTTGGTGGACTTGGAATCGCAGTTTGTCTACACTGTCCTCTTCACAGTGGAGTCTTTTTATTTCCAACCTGCAAATTATGTTTTTATATTTGTTGTCACAGTGTGACAATTTTTTGTACAGTTGGTTTTAAGGTCTCCTCTGCCACTAGAGCCAGTAGGTTACAGCTGTTGATGTAACTGTAGCTGCAATTTTTGTGCAGGACTGAGAAACACAGTGCATTATTTATTGCGGAATCATTGCTGCTAAATAACTACTGTCTGTATAGTTAACACAACAGTTCCATGCCTGAAAAAGTTGCAATGGCTTTATAATATGTGAATGCATCTGTTTCTCTTGATAACATGTTCTACTGCTGCGGGGTTTTTTTCTATTTCTTAAACTGCAGTGTTTCCTGGAATGTAAACTTAGCTTTGCTTGGCTATAGGTGAGCCATCTTTAATGCTCTAAGTTCTTGGCACTTAATTCCTTATTTAACATTGGAAGTATGTGTTGAAATAGTTGAAAAATTATAATGCATATTATATTTTTGAAAAGCACATGGTGTGAAAGTTGATTCCAACAAGTGAACAGTAACTATGATTTGCTCTCAGATCCTACGTTAGTTATTGATAAGTTAAAGCATGGAGGCTGGGTGATAAATTTTGTCAGGCTTACTCCAGCATAAAATATTTGCACATTGTTGTGCATATGGGGCCTGAAGAAACAATTAATTTTTTACCTTATTTTTAACTTAGAAATACAGATAGTAAAAAGATAATCCATATACATTGGACCCTGACTTACTTTTCGTTACAGAGGAACAGGACAACTAATTACAAGAACATGGGAATAATGTCACACTTTTCCCACCTTGTTGCTCTGCCATTTGTGCATTATTCACTTGAAATCAACTGGAAAGATGCAAGTTTGTACTTGATAAGAACTCACTGTGCTACAGAGCTTTTACAGTGGGAACTTAGGGAGTTTTTCAGATCTTAGATGTTATCTGTTTTCCAGAGATAGTAAACATATTACTACTATGCTTATGCATCTCAATGAGTATCATAAGTACACCTTGGTGATGGTTACAGTATTTTTAAGCATTTGTGTTCACCTTTATGAACCTATTTGTTTAGTGCATCTTAAAGAGACTGTAAATCTTTATTGGTATATTTTGAAATGTTCATGTAAATCTTTGGCTGGTATATCATGAAAATAGTCATAGGTAACTTAATTTTTCCTGACATTCACTGTAAAACGTTCAGGGGTCCTACCATTTCTGTTCAGGAAATCTTGTAGTTTATTGTTATTTAACAGTATTAAGTGAATTTTTGTATATTTCCTTTTAACTTTATTTGTGAATAGTGATTGTGGCATGTTTGGGGGTGTTTTATTAATATTTCATTGATACTGGTAAATTTGAATTGGGATTTTTTTTTATTTTCTGGAAGAGAGAAATTCATGTGTAATGGTGACTATTGGACCACTACTGCTTTTCAGCATTTGTAAACTGGTTTTACGTTAAATCTTGTAGACCTAACAAACTGCTGTTATTTCTAACTGACCGACCTGTATTAATATTGTACTTTTGAAAGTATAAATATTATGTGGAATTCTTTGGTTTTGTTTTGAAATTTATAATAAGAAAAGCCCTGTGTTGTTAAAAATACAGACTAAGTGAACTTGCGGTTCTTGGGGCATTGTTGGAAACGTTTGGGTAGATCCGTGTGTTGTGGGAGCCGTCAGTCTGAACTCTGGCCGCTGCTTTGATTCATGGAATGCAGAAGTAGTGGCAGTGGAAAGTAACGTGGCTCATCCGTGACTGAGGTTGTTCAGGATCTTATGAGAAGCACGGCCCACAGTCCCATTGTTGGTGAGCAAGTCCTGCGTGTCACACGGTGTCAGAAGTCTTGCCTAGGTCTGGGAGTGTAATACATGTCTTGGACACGTGCAGAGGTCTCCCACTGATTCGAGTGGGAGTTTTATGTGTGTGTCAGAGGCAGACATGGCACTGATAAAAAAACCTCGTCCTGAAATAGTTGTTATATATTTTTTTATAGTTGCTATGGATATGATCTAGATTTTATACTGATTAACTTTGTAGGAAATACATTGTAGATGTGATGGTGTTGAAGAAAGACGTATCAGAAAAACATCTTTTTTTACAGAAGTAGTGAAGATATAGAGTAAATGTTCACTGTGGATAAATGTGGGATTTAGCATTTCTAGAACAGTAATATTTTATAGATCATAAAAGAACAAGTAATAATGTGACACTAATGAGTAAAGGACTTAAAGGTTTAACTGGTAAAATGAAGTGCATTAATACATTTAGAAAGGGATCTGCTACAGCTAACAAAAGGATGTTCCATTTTAAGTAGGAGCTCAGCTTTTTTGTTACAGATGCAGATGAGATGATCTTCCTTAAAATTAAAGAAAGCACTCTGTTTATAAAGAAATTTTTCCTAAGGACCTACAAGTGAATCTGTTTTCTTCATTAGGAGGTAGCTTTAAAGAATGTATTTCTTAAAAAGCCTGGCATCTGTGGTCAAGCCAGCTTGGGGGTTTTTCTTAATTCTCTAATTGAAATTCCTGCATCAGCAGAGACAGTTCTGTGGCAGCTGCCTATTTGGGGCAGTAGTCAGCAAGTCTGAGGTTTCTGAGCATCTCTGTGACATCCTTGTTGTGCAGTTCAATGTTCTGCCTCCTGTCTGGCAGAATCAGGTACTACGGACTTGGTTTCACTGTCCCAGGAACTGTAAGGAGTGTTGGCCTTTTTGGGAGAAGACCTCAAGCGTGACAAAACCCAAGCAGATAGTCACCGAAAATGGGTGACTTTCAGTGTTTGGTATGACCACCTTTGCTTGAAGATGAGTGACCGGTTTATGAGAAATGGCCTGCAAGTCGTGGCTGATTTTAAGTAGTTCTTTTTAGAAGGCACCTGGTGTATCCCACCTACCCCAGTGTAGGAAGGCCAGGGAGTGGGTGCAGGTGCGTGTCAGAGTAAGGTGGGCTCGCAGACAGGACAGAGGCAGGTGATGGCGATGTGGGCGTGTGCACGCACAGGTGGAGCTTGAAGGGGAGAGAGGGTGGGTGGAGGACGGGGATTGACAGGACGGGATGGGAGATGGACAGGGCAGGGCAAACCAGCTGCTCAGCAATGCTCTAGAGGAACGTGCATCTCAACATGGCTGTGTTATTTTTGTGCTACTTTACCACAGCGTTAAGTAGCCAGAGTGTATCCCTGAATTGGGCAATAAAAGTTAAAATAAACAATTATTAAAGAATCAACATACTTTGTATTTGCAAATCATTTGAAAAACTTGCGAGGTAGCGTTCTCTGGGCTGCTTGCTTGTTGTTTGTGCATGAGTTTTTTCAGTGTAATAAAGGTACATTGTTTCTGTTTTGCAATGTTAAGATGGAATTAAGGTTAAGAATACATTCAGTTATTGCGGACAAAATATATGAAAGGTATGTTGTAAATATCCCCAAGCTAAGTATTATAAACCCAGGAAATACTCAGAATTAAGGTCAGATTTGAAAGAAATCCAAACAAATCAGGGTATGGAAATGTGCGGCTATTATAGCACATGGTGACACTGAAGCAAAATCAGAACTTACTTTGTCTGTGACAACATGATGAGTTTGTCTGGTTACTAATGAGCAGAGTTGAAGTAATTCTTAGCACATTTCAGTACCTTTTTTTACTATAAGAAATTTTGGCTTTAAAACAAATGTAACATTTCTGTGAAATGCCTTAATTTTTGGAAGGAACTTATACAGTTTTTTGGTTGTTTTTTTTTTTTCCAGAGTTTGGACTGTTAGAAGTTTAATGCTCCCATTTGGTCTTTGTGTTGTTCAGCAACATCCTTGTATCTCACCAGCATCCATGTCATACCAATTTAGGAGATTGGCAGCATGTATAAATTATAAAACATAAAGAAAGCACCATGAAAACATGTAGCTAGTTGGAACATTGTAAGCTCTGGCTGTACAGGTGGGGTGATTATGAACAGTATAAAAATCAAGCATGTATGTGGGCTTTGTAATTCCTACCATGCACCCGTTTCATCTGTGGAGTTCAGTTGCACAAAAATCATGCTCTTTTTCTTGGCCACAGTGAAAATTCGGTTTTTCAGAACTGGGATGAGAGTTTAGCTATTCTAGATTGTTTTTTCAATCTTTTGTGTGTGATTTTTGCTGGGCAATACTGTGCTTCTCTGAAAGAAGATTGATGTCAGTGGAAAACATACAATTTTCCATAATTTTTGCATGTTTTCTAAAATCCCTTAACTCATTTAAGTTCTATAATATTTGAGCCAGTTTAAACTGTGAATGCACACATGTGCACATGCTGTTGTGGTAAATAACTTCTTAATTTATTGTCCTGGCTGCATCCTCCAAACTCATTCAAGAAGCAGACCTGCCTGAGCACATTGCTTTATGGTCCTCCTAATGAAATGTGAGTCGTTCTTGGCTCAGATGCCCTGCCTTGAGACACATTTTTCCCCAGAGAGCTATAAAGTTTCTTCATTTGATGCGGTAGGATCTCTTTGCTGATGGAATTAGCATTGCTGCAGATTGCAAACCAGGGAGAATGCTCTTCCCTGTCTCCTCTCTGACATACTGTGGCAGAACACCTCCCTCCAGGCCCTGTGTCTGCACTGCCACCTGCCCCTCCTCTTTCACACCCTGAGCTTGTTTTTCAAAGGCTGTTTTTTCCTTTCTTCCCCATCCTTTTACTTAATTTGCGGGAGGAGGGAGCTGGCCTGGAGCCATGTTAGGAATAATTAAGGTTACATTTATTCATTCGTGCATGTCATGGAGTGAATATGAGCTGATGGGAATCTTTCACAAAAAACAATCAACATATCCTAACACCCTCTATTCTAGGATGCTTTTCTACAAATACCACCACTCACCCAAGGCGGGCCACGATGCTGATTGTTCCAGAGTCCTTGCTTGAGGTTCATTCTCCTTTTTTCATTTAAATAAATTTATACTGCTTCTCACTAGTGCTGTCAATCTCTTTGCCCTCAAGAAGTAGGTTTGCACTCCATCTGTGTAGGCAGAGCACTCACACATTAATTGGTAAGAGCAGTTACAGTTTGGGGCTAAAAGGGATTTCAAAAGTTGTAGTTTTCTGATGACTCTGTAGGGATCTGAAGGACCTGTGTGTGTTTGTCCTACAGGATATACAGTCAGTCACAAGATCAGAAGTGAACAGTGATGCCCTTACATAAAAGACTACCTGTACTTACTGTGCCTTTTCTAAATTTGTTTGGATGTCATGATGGCTTCTGAAGATTCTTCCTGTAGGCACAAGATCACACAGCCTCTTAATGCAGAGACTTGTTCCCTTACATACTATAGTCTGTTTTAAAGGACCATCTCCCCTTTAAATAGTCATCTTGTTGACAGTTATTTACTTCTTTGGTAGGTATTTCCAAATAGGCAAGTGCCTGTCTGATGAGACTAGTTTTATTCAGACAAAACAAATTGTTCTTTGTTGACATAATCGATGTGTGTCAAAATCTTTTTCTGTAGTTTGTTATCACCCATCACTTTTCCCCATCCTGAAAGTTTTCTTTAGAACTGAAGCCACTTACTGGTGCCAGGGCAGAAGGTGTGCACAGTCTCTCGACAGAGCTGCTCTGAAGCTGTGACCCTGCTGGTGGATACTTGGCTTTTCTGTACAGGTAAGCCAAAAACAGCCTAATCATGCATCCAAGCCTATATAATATTGGAAAGATTTTGTGTATTGCTGAAGCATGATAAAGTGTAAATCTTAAATCCCTCAATTGTGATCAAATTGCGATTACTACTAAGAATACTGAAGAGAGAATAACTCCCGGTTTATTCCCCAGGATTGTTGGCTTGGAGCTCTCCATGCCACAGGAAATACTGACACTTTCACAGTATTTATTTTAAAAACATTTATTTGATTTTTCTCTACAGTTAAAAAGATAAAATTCAGTACAAGATTAGCAAGAGAGTTTTTTCTTCAAAGCGTAAGGCATAACCATTTAGTGTTTTATGTAAGTGTTAGACTTGGGAAGAATTTATACAAATGAAGTCCAGCCTCTCAACTGGAAAAATTTTTATTCCACATTATTGACCAGTTTAGAAGGCAGATTTCATTTTGATAACCTGTTTTTTTTAATTGAAAAGTCAATTAGCAAAAGATGTGTTCTTTTGCTATTTTTATTCTCTCAAAGAATAGAGAAGAAGATAGCGCTGTTTCCCAGTTGCTGTGTGTCTTCCATTAAGTTTTACTGGATTCTCCCAGATCCTTTAAAATAATTTGTTGAAATAGGATTTTTTTCCCCGAACAGCTGTTTCCTCTTATATTTAAAAGAAATCCACAATCACTCAAGAGGCAGGAGGGTAGGAGGGAAGATGTAGGTGTGTTGAGACTTTTGAAAAGAATCTGCCTTCTTAATAGTAAAACTTTGGAAGAAATAAAATCATGAGAATCTGAAGGATTTTTCTTTTAAGAATCTCTTCTCTGTCACATACTCCCTACTTTCATGTTTATCTGGTTTTTTTGCAGTGTGATATTTGATTTTAAGTTTTCAGGAGTATCTGCCTTCACTTTTTGAACTCACAGTGAGAAACACTCCATCTCTATGCTGTGTTCTCCCGTTGGCTCTACTGGCTGGTAACAAGGTGGAACTATTTGCTGCT